GGATTTTGGAGAGGATTGGAGTGTGAGCTGGAGTTTGGCTTTAATTTAATTTTAAGTCTATTAGTTCATCAAACACTCCCCATTCGCGTCCGTGGCTGTCAATCACCGGGTCCCGGCTGGTCATTACTTGCCGGCGCCCAGTGATTGACGAGCATATCTGACGGGGGGGGGGATGACTGTTTTGTAAACAAAACAGTTCTCCTCCCTGTCAGCTCGTGCACACTGCTTTGCATGGCTGTGCACAGCCCAGCCATTCAAAGCAGTGTGGTTAGAGTGAAGCACATGGACCCAGCACTATGTAAAACAGCACACAGTTAATTCTTTGATAACCCCTCATGTTAACCCCTTCCTGCCAGTGCCATTAGTACTGTGTCAGTGCTTTATTTTAGCACTTATCACTGTATTGGTGTCAATGGGGATGTCAAATCAGTTCCCCCCAGTGTCAAAATGCACGCCACAGTCCCGCTATAAGTCGCTAATCGCCACCATTACTAGTAAAAATTCAAAAAAAAAAAAAAATCCCAGTATATGTAACGCCATTTGAAAATGCTATAACATTCACGTAAATCAATTAATTTACACGTATTGGTATTTTTTTTTGTAGCAAAGCAGAGTACGTTTTGTCCTAAATTTATAAAGAAATTTGATTTTTTAAATTTTGTTACTGGACATGTTTAATAGCAAAAGGTCAAAAATATATTTTTTTTTTCAAAATTGTCGGTCTTTTTTTTTAATATAATGCAAAAAATAAAACCACACAGGTGATCAAATACCACTGAATGAAAGCTCAATTCATGGAAAAAAAGGACGTAAATTTCATTTGGGTGCAGCGTTGTATGACCGTGCAATTGTCAGTTAATGTAGCGCAGTGCCGTAAGGCAAAAAAAATGGCCTGGTCAGGAAGGGGGGGGGGGGGGTAAATCCTCAGGAGGGCAAGTGGTTAAATACTACCTTCCCAAACAGTGCATATAGTAAACAAATACCACTTATTACTTTATAAGCCAGAAACAAATGATTGACAGCTGCACTAGGAAAACTTCCTCTGCTTAACCACAAGCAATAAATACTTGTAATGCAGTGTGAAATGACTGTCTGCCCTTTAACCTTGTGCTGCTTATTTTTTGCTACTGCCTACATCTGAGAGCCAAGGTGTGTTACTGAAAAATACACTGAGAGTTGATTTAGAAATATAATTGAAGACAACAGACACTGCATCTGTAACCAGTATAAAGAGTGGTCAGGGTCTGTGGGATGTTCAGTGTAAACAAAATATCTATTAAAAATCAAACACAAGTGCATTTTTAAAAAAGAAATGCCTTTTTAATGGTAAATTTAATTTTCACGTTCTGCTGATATGAGATATTTTAGGGTCTCTAAAGTAAAGTGAAAAAATACCAAAAAATATAAATAAAGCACAGTGTTTTGTCCTAATGTAGACAGCAATCAAAACAAAACAATCATAGCTGGACTGTAAAAGAACAAAATAATCAGTGAATGCTAGAGATGTTAAACCTTCTGGATGGGTTTCACATTTGAAGGTATTATTTTATTTGCTGTCATTAATAATTATGTCTAGACAGATATTTATTGACTGTACAGTTTCATAAAGTGAGAGCTAGCCTGAAGTCTGTTAGAGTCTAGTGTCAGGAGTTGTGTTTGGATATTATCTATTGTGATTTGTGCTCTTTATCCTGTGAGTGGGTGTCCTAAGTCACAAAATTATTCCTATCATGTGATAATTGGTTTCTGTCAATAGCTAATTTAACATAAGTACTGATTGGACAGTGCAAATGTTGGAAACTGTCACAAAGCTATTTGCTTTTCTCTTTGTCTTCATATTCTTCAGTAGCAGAGAATCTTTATTGATAAAAACTTTGAAGCTGCCATTGTTAGTTTGTTTTTGAAGCTGCAAACTGCAAGAAGCTTTTCCCTCCCCTTCTTTCACTAATTAGTGAGTCAAGGATTTGCCACAAGCATATGTTCTTCAGGTGTCTTGACATCTGATATATGCGTGCTCACTCCAGGTGTGCACCTTCAAGAATAACCCAGAGGTTGCAACTTTCATGTTTAGGGTCACCTTTTCCAAAAAAATATCCTATGCCATTAAATATATATTAAAAAAAAAAACTGTGCAGGTTTGTAAAATGTTTATTAGTTTTATTGTATGAGAACCCAATGTGCATTTAATTATTTTGTAGGCATGTTTTCAGTACCTTGCACCATATACAATATCTTATAAATTGTTTCTTCATAAGAAAATGTAGGCATGGAGCAACCTGTGGTTTTCACAGTGGAGGAGTCCAGTTGTCAGAGTACAATGACACAGAGGGGAGGATTCCTCCATCCACCTTGATTGTGTGGATGGGGGAATCTGTTCAGTTTTTTTTTTTTTTTCAATCAGCCCACTGGCTGCTCAGAAAAGGCAGTTTAGGTACACTAAATGGCACTATTAATGTTATGCAAATTAAACTGTTGTATAAGTCAGGATATAAACTGTGATCTCCATCTTTGACCATTCCTTCCAGCTGCTGACAATAACCTGGTGCCCTGCACATTCGAAGTTGATGGGAGAATCACTCTCTCGCTGACCTACTGTGTTATGAGAGGGGAGACTTCCCCGCCATCAGAATACACACTGATCAGCGCTGCCGGCTATAGCTGATGATGCTCATCATGCAGAAATTGTCCAAGGGGCTGGTTGTACTGAAGTCAATATAGCGACCAGCCTGCCCATACATTGATCAGAATTCGTCCGGTCCCTGCTGAACTGGACAAATTTCGATCCATGTATGCCTGGCTTAACACTGTGTTATTGTTCACCAACTTGCCGGTTGTTTGGTGTTTGTAAAAATGGCACCTAATGTGGAAAAGTTTGCTGACCTTGGGTCTAATTACTATTTTTCTCCTTAGTCGATGTCACAGTAAGTGTAGTGAACTGTACAGATGAAACACTTTGATTACTGGTGTACAGATATGTTAATTTAATTTGCTGTGTTACAATGATAGGTCCACGTTAAAGTGATTTGTATTTGTTCCTCCCTTGCCATAGCTATTCCTCCATGGATTTCCCTACAGCTATTTGTTTTAGTTTAATATCAGAAGATATCCCATGTGAGTAGGACCCACAGCACAATTTAGCTGGAAGGCAATGGCATATCTGATAGAGTTTAATGGCTTCTATAGAGGCGCACAGCATTAATCAAACATGCTTAAGATGACAATACATTATTTTAAAATAGCAGTGTTTTTAAACTGCTCAGAGTTCCTCAAATCTTACTGAAAGGTATGAGAGATATCAAGTGTTCGAAGAGTCATTTAACAGTGATTGAAGATGGTACAAGTTGCTGCAAGCTATTTATATCTTTGACTTAGACTGTATGACGGCTGAAAGATACATCACACTGTCTGCTTGAATGTGTTTCCTCTCAGTGTACCAAGTGAGGATAATATATTGAGTCACTTGTACCCATTTACCTTAGATCACCTTGACGTGACCAGTTTTTTTTTTTTTTTTTCATCGTAAACTTAAAAAGAACTATCTAAAGAGTAAGTTTTTGGTTGTCTTTTTAGAAGCATTGCATTTTAAAAGAGAACTCAAACAAGACTGTCTGTAGACAACCAGAAATTTCACAGAGAAAAGTGAGCAAGGAGATGTGTCCAATATTGATCTCTTTTCTGTGCCATCTTCACTTGGCTGATATAACTTGCTCCCTAACTTGGCTAACAGGTGTTGGTAGTGCATGTATGGTGACAGTCTACTATTTTTCTGAACAGAAAATAGATCAGTTGGTGCCTGCTTGGATAGAATTTTTCAAGCTGACTAATGTGTGTGCGCATGTGTAATATTATGGAAGTTTTTGATGAGTTCAGTTTTTGGATCAAGAACACATGTTAGACAGAACAAATGAAAGGATGCTGGAGGAGTACTTGTCAGGGCCATCTTTAACGGGGGGCAAAAGGGGGTGCTGCCCAAGGCCCAGTCATTGTTGTGGGGCCCAAAGCAGCTGACCCCTGAGCTGCCCGCCAGGGTTTTTTTTTTTTTTTTTTGTTTTTTTTTTTTTTTTTTTTTTTTTTTTTTTTTTTTTTTTTTTTTTTTTTTTTTTTTTTTTTTTTTTTTTTTTTTTTTTTTTTTTTTTTTTTTTTTTTTTTTTTTTTTTTTTTTTTTTTTTTTTTTTTTTTTTTTTTTTTTTTTTTTTTTTTTTTTTTTTTTTTTTTTTTTTTTTTTTTTTTTTTTTTTTTTTTTTTTTTTTTTTTTTTTTTTTTTTTTTTTTTTTTTTTTTTTTTTTTTTTTTTTTTTTTTTTTTTTTTTTTTTTTTTTTTTTTTTTTTTTTTTTTTTTTTTTTTTTTTTTTTTTTTTTTTTTTTTTTTTTTTTTTTTTTTTTTTTTTTTTTTTTTTTTTTTTTTTTTTTTTTTTTTTTTTTTTTTTTTTTTTTTTTTTTTTTTTTTTTTTTTTTTTTTTTTTTTTTTTTTTTTTTTTTTTTTTTTTTTTGTTTTTTTTTTTTTTTTTTTTTTTTTTTTTTTTTTTTTTTTTTTTTTTTTTTTTTTTTTTTTTTTTTTTTTTTTTTTTTTTTTTTTTTTTTTTTTTTTTTTTTTTTTTTTTTTTTTTTTTTTTTTTTTTTTTTTTTTTTTTTTTTTTTTTTTTTTTTTTTTTTTTTTTTTTTTTTTTTTTTTTTTTTTTTTTTTTTTTTTTTTTTTTTTTTTTTTTTTTTTTTTTTTTTTTTTTTTTTTTTTTTTTTTTTTTTTTTTTTTTTTTTTTTTTTTTTTTTTTTTTTTTTTTTTTTTTTTTTTTTTTTTTTTTTTTTTTTTTTTTTTTTTTTTTTTTTTTTTTTTTTTTTTTTTTTTTTTTTTTTTTTTTTTTTTTTTTTTTTTTTTTTTTTTTTTTTTTTTTTTTTTTTTTTTTTTTTTGTTTTTTTTTTTTTTTTTTTTTTTTTTGTTTTTTTTTTTTTTTTTTTTTTTTTTTTTTTTTTTTTTTTTTTTTTTTTTTTTTTTCACAGCGCAATCCCCTCAATCCTGCACTCCGTACACAGCCCAGCCCTCAACCCTGCATAGCGCACCCCCTCAACCCTGCACTCTGTACACAGCGCACCCCTCAACCCTGCACTCTGTACACAGCGCACGCCTCAACCCTGCACTCTGTACACAGCGCACCCTCAACCCTGCACTCTGTACACAGCGCACCCTCAACCCTGCACTCCGTACACAGCGCACGCCTCAACCCTGCACTCCGTACACAGAGCACGCCTCAACCCTGCACTCCGTACACAGCGCACGCCTCAACCCTGCACTCCGTACACAGCGCACGCCTCAACCCTGCACTCCGTACACAGCGCACCCTAAACCCTGCACTCCGTACATAGAGCACCCCTCACCCTGTCCATACACAACGCACTCTTCAACCCTGCACCCGTACAAAAGCTCCCCAAACCGCATTCCTTACACACAGTGCACCCCTCAATCCTGCACTTCGTACATAGCGCACCCCTCAATCCTGCACTTTGTACATAGTGCACCCCTCAACCCTGCATTGCATACATAGCACACCCCTCAATCTGACATTGCATACACAGTGCAACAGTGAGCTCTCAAAAAGCATTTCCCCGTCTCGCCATAATTGAGGTGTGGATTCTAAACCAAAAAGCTCGTAAGAAAAAGTTAGCAGCTGACAAGACCAGACCTGCCAAAAAAGACGGTATATTATGAATCCTATGTGGAGTAAATATTGACTATGAATAGTGGATGCAAATATTTTTATTGAGATGTGTTAGATCAGTGCCCCCTTCAACCCTGCACTCTTTAAATACCCTAGCTGCCCATGTTCGGAGATGCTGCTCACATTGGGCTCTGTTCCTACCTGCTCTCAGTCAATTTTCATAGTTGTGTGTTCTCTGCTATGCTCATCGCTAATAACAAGTTCTAGAATGTTCTGTCTATTGGTGGGTCTTGTCCCCTCCGCAGTCTGTGGTGTGCAGGAAGGGAGGAGATTGTGTGCTATAACCTCTAGCAACCAATCAGTGAGCTGTAATGATGTGCAGTAACCTCTTGCAACCAATTAGTGAGCAGTAATAATGTGCAGTAACCTCTAGCAACCAATCAATTCACAGTAATGATGTACAGTAACCTCTAGCAACCAATCTTTGAGTGGTAATGATGTGCAGTAACCTCTATGAACCAATGGGTGAGCAGTAAAGATGTGCAGTACCCTCTAGCAATTAATCAATTGCTGCCTGATCTGCTGCAGTAAACTGATTTTGAGTCTAGCTGTTTTGTATGCTTTATGGATGTTTTGATGAATGGGGGGCTGGGGGTGGCTAGGGGGACCCCCCAAAAAAACGTTTGTCCAGGGTCCAATCAGTTTTAAAGACGGCCGTGGTGCTTGGGGCCTTTTTTTCACCCATACCTGAAAAAATTGGTGTGGGGCTGCTTTTGTGTTGGCAAATGAAAATTAACAGATTTCTTTCACCGGAAGTCAGTAATTGATTGATGCAACAGAAAAACAGTATTTCTCTAAGCTATAAAAAAATATTGGTACTGCATTTTATGAACTGGCCATTACAGTCATCAGATCTCAACCGTATAGAGCTCATGTGGGTATATATTTTCTGTAAGATCAGATAAAATGACCAACAAGTTAATCACACCTCTGTAAAAAAAAAACAAAGAATGTATAGGTTGAAACATCTTCAAAACCTCACAGCTAGAATGCCAAAAGCCTGTAAAAGTGGAATTACTATGATAGACATTTAGAACTGTTATTTGAGGCAAAACAAGTGTAATTTGTCAGGTGTGTTCATTATAATTCCTGATCAGTGTGGAGGTCACATGGTTCTGGCAAGCCTTTTTGGAAAAATAATAGCCAAAAAAATAAAATCTGGAATTTAAATTTGGCCTGAGCATCCAAAACTCTGAAATTTGGCCTGAATGTAATGGCATCTGAATTTCAGGAACCACTTTATTCCCTGGCAGTGTTATAGTTAACCTAAACCCCTTTCATGGTTAAATTTTATTGAAACCTTTTAAATGCATATAGATGTGGAGAAAAATATAAATATATAAGTGATGGTTAAAACCCGTTAGGATTTTTTCTTATACGTGTTCTATTGTAGAGATTTCCTTTCACAATCTGTCTCATAGCCAAACAGGAAGTGACAGGTAATCCTTCCAAAGTAAAGGAATCCCACGTTGTCAACAAGGTCACCAGAACTAGCATCCCTGTTGGTAAATTTCCTCTACATTACTGTTCTGGGCCAATCCAAAAATGCAATTTTCTTGTATTTTAGCTTTTGATAATAATGGTACACATGACAAATATAGGGGGATAATCTCCCTAGTTCAGAGAAGTGTTCTAATCTTTTCTTCGCTCTATCCAAAGCTAAAAAATAAAAGTCTTCCTTTTAGTTACACTTTAAAATGGTATTAAACCCAGAGGCAAACATTTATTATATTGCAGCTTACCAGTTCTTAGAAGTGATGGCTGTACTAGTTTTCTTTTTTTAGAGTTTCTTTTTATATTTTCATCTGGTGATCCAGCCAATAAGTCTGTTTTTTTTAACAGAACAAGCTGTTCTGCACATGTAGCAGTTAAAGTGGAAAACCGGGTTAGGCTAACTAGGCTTAAAACTCACCCACCTTTTTTTTTTTAAATAAATTCTTTATTTTGAAGAAGCAGCATAACACGTGTTTCCAATTACACATCAGGAAGGGATGCAGTAGGCATTGTACACCAAAAAACACATACGCAAATACAAGTGAATTAAAAGCGTTGAGCTCTGGTATAAATTGTATTAGATACACTATATTGCCAAAAGTATTCGAACACCCCTCCAAATCATTGGACTCCAGTGTTCCAATCACCTCTGTGGCCACAGATGTAAAAAATCAGGCACCTAGGGATGCAGACTGCTTCTACAAACATTTTTGGAAGAATGGGTCGCTCTCAGGAACTCAGTGAATTCAAACGTGATACCGTGATAGATTGCTACCTGTGCAATGAGTCCATCCATTAAATTTCCTTGCTACTAAATATTCCACAGTCAACTGTTAGTGGTGTTAGAACAAAGTGGAAGCAACTGGGAACAACAGCAACTCAGCCACCAAGTGGTAGGTCACATAAAATGACAGAGCAGGGCCAGCACATGCTGAAGCACACAGTGCGCAGAAGTCGCCAACTGTCTGCAGAGTGAAGGGCTAAATACCTCGTCAAACTTTGGGATGAATTAGAGAAAAGAGTGTGAGCCAGGCCTTCTCGTCCGACATCAGTGCCTGACCTCACAAATGCGATTCAGGTAGAATGGTCAAACATTCCCATAGACACACTCCAAAACCTTATGGACAGCTTCCCAGAAGAGTTGAAGCTGCAAAGGGTTGGCCAACTCAGTATTGAACCCTATGGACTAAGACTGGGATGCCATTAAAGTTCACGTATACATGTAAACGCAGGCGTCCCAATACTTTTGGCAATATAGTGTATATGTGGTCAGCAGAGCTACTTATCTACATCCCTGAAATATACAGTTCTCACCCACCTTCTAACACCTATACTAACTACCTTGTAGAAGGTAGATGCTGATACTTCCCTATTCTCAGAGCGATCTGATCCTGTCACGTGATTAGCCTTTCTCTCTCAGCTAACAACAGCTTCAGGGGAAAGAGAAGCCTATGGGTGATGTCACTGCCCAGGCATTCCATCCATTGTCAGCACGCTCTCTTCTCCCCTGATTCCAGCCACTGGGGATATTAAGTGACCAGACCAGAGCACTCTGAGAATAGGTAAGTGTATGCATCTTACTTCTACAGGGTAGTTTCTATAGGAGGCAGTTTTAGTTCTAAGTCAAGACTTCTACTTTAAGAGTATTGAGGCAAACCATATACCACTGACAGTAGTGCTTACAATGGTAAGCTTTTATTCATGTAAAATCTTTATCCCAAAGAAAAAAAAAAACTGTTGCTATCACTGCTTGTGTAACTGCACCATGAGCTGGAGTTTGGCTCCAAATTTGTTAGTGTATCTAAATTTGTGAGTAAATCTAACACTCCCTCCACACTGATAATGCTTTTATCCAAAATGCTTGTGCTGCTTTATCCGGAGTGTGGGCACTATAACAGGATCACCAGGTGAAAAACAGAGGGGAAATAATTCTAAAAAAAAAAAAAAAAAAAACTAATGCAGCCACCGCATCTAAGGATTGGTCAGCTGCAAAATATCACCTTATTGATATTGGGTTTAATACTGCTTTACACCCTGTTTCTTTTTTCTTGCAGGCACTCACCTGATACTTGCTTATGAATTCACTTACCTTGCTAAAAAAAAAATTATGTTCAGGATTGTTTTTCACAAGTTAAATATTAGGTTGGATTTACACCTTTCAAGCTCTTTCCTGCATATGAGAAGACATACATTAACGCATCACTATGTGTGTCAACACTGTGTATAAGTCCATTACAACTTGCGGTAATGTGTTTTAACATACCTTTCAAGTGTTTTCATTTATTGCAGTAGAATACACATTTGGAGGCAAAAATGCATAGGTGTGAATAGGCCCTTATTGGTAAACTTTATGCTTTTTAACCCCTGGGAGGCTGAGCACAACCTGTGATCACTGTGTCCATTGAAATTGACCCTGTACCACATGATCACTTTGACCAATAACAGTGATCACACAAGTAATAAAAAGGCTGCAAGAAGAAAACACTGTGTTTCCTACAGTTTTTCTTACAGTGCCAGCCATAGTGTCCCTAATCACTATCCACACCAGTGCAGCTATCCCTGCACTATGTCAGTGTCCCTGATAACTCGCCTTTTGCATTTTGTGATATTTTGCAGCTTACCAATCCATTAGTTTTGGGGTTTTTTTTTTTTAGAATTGTTTCCCCTCTGTTTTCACCTGGTGATCTGGCAAGCAACACATCTCCTCTGTTATAGTGCCCCCACTCTGGATAAAGGAGCACAGGGGCACCTTTGGAATAAAAGCATTGTCAGTGATACTAACAAATTTAGATACACAGTGTCACCAGACCAGTGCAGCCAAAGTGTTCCTAATCACTAGTCACACCGAGAACACAGTGTTACCAAACCAGTGCAGTCTGCCACAGTGTCCTTGATTGCTACTACACCAGCACAATGCCACCGGACCAGTGCAGCCAGCCACCGTGACCCTGATAGCAAGCGACGGCAGTACACTGTCACCAGACCAGTGCAGTAAATTACAGTGGTCCTGATCACAAGCCACGCCTGTGTCACCAGACTGGTGCAGCCAAAAACCAGTGTATGATTGCCACACCACACCAGCCCCAGTGTCGTTGCACCAGTGAAAGCCAGCAAATGGTACTTACGTTTGTCATTTTCCTGAAAAGATGTGGCAAAAAATGACAACCTCAAAAACTTACTATACCTCTTACTAACTACATCGGAGGGTCTAAATTCCAGTTAAAGTACCACAGTTCTGAAAAAAATGGCTTAGACAGGAAGGACGTTTAATATGTTGGTCTTCAAGTGGTTAATTACTTTATTCAACTTTTGTTCATTTT